CTTTGACCTTTGACCCCAAGCTTCGACATCCCAACTCGTTTTCGGATTACCCCCCCACGTCCCGAATATCGTGACCGTACGTCGAGCGGTTAAGATTTGTGCCCAACTGTTGACGGACGACCGACCGGACGGACGGACGGACGGACGGACGGACGATCAAGCGATTCTACAAGCTGCATCTGACTATGTCAGATGAGCTAACAAAAACACTACATCTAAGCAGCAGGTTTAGCCATATTGAAAGAAGGTTCATTACCATAGGTGGCGCTGTATCAAAACAACATAACATCGGGGTACAGGCTAATACATTATGCCTGTGTACAGTGTAGATCTCAATATCTTACAGTATCGCTAACGTACCTGTACTCATAGTTGCCGGTCTCGACTCTGTAGAGAGGTTCCTGCAAGGATGCGTAGCTATACTCCTCATCATCCATCTCCTTCACCTTGAGGCAGTACGACTATAGACAGCAAACATTCCTAATCACAACCTGCTCCCACCTGCCAGCACGTACCAACAGAAACTGATTCGATTAGTCAAATATTAAGCGACCTACTGAATATCAAGATGAGATTTATTCGAGAAATTATTATATTATTTTTATCGAAAGATTATTAATGAACAATTAAAATTAAAAAGGCTGCAGTCATGTAAGTTTTTACCTTTCAGCAATGCAGAATGAAAATTTCATTTACTAATTACCTTAATTTGAATTGTTTTTAATAAGTTTTAAAACTAATTCATTTTAATTTTATCTTGAATTACTCTCCAGGTTTAATTAAGCTTTACCAGGTACTCAAACTTGGCATCTGCATATTTCTTGATGGTCAGCTTCGTGTCTGGAACAGCTTTATTCAGATATGTGCTCAGGTCAGCCAGCATCTGTGAGGGAGGCACACACATTACACTACTGAACACATGCATGCAGTTCCCTGTCAGCAACACGACTCATTGATCAAGAATCTATATATATAAAGTTGTTCAGCCGAATTAGTCCGTACTCGCATAACTAGAGAACTCCGCAGCCTAGAGGAAAATCTATATATATAAAGTTGTTCAGCCGAATTAGTCCGTACTCGCATAACTAAAGAACTCCGCAGCCTAGATGAAAACTAAAGATATTTTCAGAATCAGCACGTCTGGGAGGTGGTTTTGGCTAAAACAAAAATTTAAAAAAGTTAAAAATTCATAAAAATTATATTCATCAATAGATGGTGGTGCTTACAGATTAACATCACGTATGTGTGAATCCATGGTGTATACCCTTAATGGCGCAGTGGCCTAATCGCTAGAACATCTGTCTCCTACACCGGGATTCCGGGTTCGAGTCCCAGCCCGGGAACTTGTTTTCCCCTTTTTTCCTTTTTTTCCCTTTACCTACCTCTTTAGTATATATTATTTTTAATTTTTTACTTTTTACTTTTCATTTTTTATTTTTAATGTCTTTTATCTTTTGATTTCTTATTATTTTTTACTGTTTGGGATGGGATGGGATGGCATGATGGGATGGCATGGGATGGGATGGGATGGGATGGGATGGGATGGCATGGGATGGCATGGGATAGGATGGGATGGGATGGGATGGGATGGGATGGCATGACATGGCATGGGATGTGATGAGATGGGATGGGATGGGATGGGATGCGGTGCGATGGAATGGGATGGCATGGAATGGGATGGATGCATGAATGCATGGATGGATGAAATGCGATAGATAGTTAGAATTTGGGCCATTTTCCTTTAACCAAGCGTTCACCAACGGGAGTAACGCCACTGATTTCCCGGGGCACGCCGGGTATGCCCAGATAGTATTCAATAGAATGAGCAAAATATTGCATTGATAGTTATATAGATGCAATGATAAATGATAATAATAATAATAATGATGATGATAATAATAATAATAATAACGAAGCCCTTGGCACATATCTTCACTGGGTGCCAGTCTTTTAGCCAGGCTTGAATGCCAAACTTTTTTCGCATCGTGCGATGTCGCATCCCGAACTGCGGTGAACGCCCGCTAGCGTTCGGCTGCGCGCTCCTCGCACACCGATCGCTGCCAAACACGCACCAAACGCTGGCCAAACAAACAATACAAGCCAACGCAGTAAACAAAACATGTCACCCAAACGCCCTGCCAAACAAAAAAAATAACAGCACGAGTAAACAACAACAGCACCAAACGCTGAAACAGAACAATAACAGCACGAGTAAACAACACATGTCACCAAACGCGGCAAACCAAAACAATAACAGCACGAGTAAACAACAACATGTCAGTAAATGCCTGCAAAACAAACATAAAACAACTGTAAGTAAACAACAACAGTTCCCAAAATGCTGCCAACAACAACAGCTGTGAGTATAAGGTAACCATGCTCTCCAACGCTCAGAGGTGTAACAACAACAACAATATATAGCATCTTCACGCTACACAATAACAGCATATTCCTTGTTTACAAGGATCGTTGAGTTTCTATTCAGCAAGCCACACTCTTAATTATGAGTTTTGACACTTGTACATCGCACGGCATGATCTTACTGGTGTGGATCCTTCATATCCTCGGTTAGGATTGGTCGCATTGCTCTTCCAATCTCCTCAGCCTTCTACACAAGTCCGTCTGCAAAACATGTGCATTGCAACTTGACGACAGTACTACATATAATTGAGTGAGCGACGGAGATATATGAACGGGAGGCCGTCGCAACAACTACCTACGCCATCCGAGGTGAAATAACCACGCCCCCTTTGATATGATTGCCAGGTACAGTTCGCGGAGCGGACTTATCGTGCTACTCGCACTCTGCCGCTATACGATGTTACGGGCTGGACACCTCGCGCTGACTGCCGCGCGAACACAGCTGCAGGCGTCGCAGAAATTAACCGGTGAGCTCCGGAGTCAAATATCCCTGATTTACCTGTTGGACTCCCTGATTTGACATAGGTAGGATTCCGTGTGGACTCAGTGTTGAAATTCACGTCGGCCCGTCGGCCCGTCCGCGACAGTTTTCGCAGCCGGGCCTACAGCTTCTGATACAAAGGCCGCCTGATCCTACAGCACCTTATTTGTCACTGAAAATTCGAACACTGAGAATTACTGTTACCTGTAGAAAATCTGTTATCAAGGCATATTAATTTTCCAGGGCGTTTTATTTTAAACTAATCTCGTGATAAACCGTGACATAATCATAATGTTAAACAATGCGTTCGCCCACTGCAATCAACTTTAGGTTGGCATTCAAGAAACGGTGCTGGGATGTTCGGCGGCGCACAGTTGCCCCCTTCCTGAATCCAGTAAAGCAGCGGTGCACCAAAAATGCGATAAGTGGGTGGAGCTTTCTTTGGCCCAGTGGTAGTGAACCCTTACTTGTGTTGCAGCGGTCTTATTTACGTTGCTCGGTCGTGGCAGCACGCATCACTGCTTCACGCACAGTGCGCTAGGTTGTGGAGTAATTTCACATCCCCGCCGCGATTTCAACGTTTGGGATGTAAACAATAAAGTATCACTGGTAGAGTGAGTGAGTGTATTAAAAACGACATATTATTTTAAAATAATATGAAGAAGATTTAGGTAATATATATGTTGAATTATACCGTATAATAATAATAATTGCTCTCAAGTTTTAACCACACAGGTCATAATGCACGTAGCAAAAAAAGCAAAAGAACCAAAAAAAAAAAAAAATAAAATAAAATCCTGCCAAAGCATCGTCGTAATTATACTTTACTAGTCATTGCAAACAGCAGTACAGCCTCGTCGCACACTCAGTTAACCGTGCTCATATTGTTTTTAACGTTGGCAAAAAACTATATACATTTTAGACAAGGCTTAGCTTAAATAAAAGGCTTCGCCTACGTAAGAGCTTGTTTATGTCTAAAATAATACATTTACTTTGGACACATCAACATCAGACGGAATATCCCAGTGCCATTGCAAAATTTTACAGTATTGTAAATTTTACATAATTTTTTCCTTTTCCACAAAGTGTTCCTAGCTGTAGCCTATTGGAGTACCCTGAAATATAGCCGCGCTAAGATTTGGCATCTCAGAGCTTAGTAATTTTCAAAAAATTTTCTGCCCCCAGGATCCCCATAGAAGTCCGCATTGTGTAGCAGACTACCAGTCTGTCTCTCTACGCTGCTGTCAAATTGGCAGAGTTCGTATAGTTAACCAAGGAGCTACATATAACAACTCGATGTGGCGTTTCCTTAATTGTGAAGCCCCCTGGCAAAGGCAAGCATAAACACGTCATCCCGCGAGAGGAAGGAACAATCCCGTTACATGTGTACATACTTGACAGTACAGAATGCCATAGAAAATTATACGATTTTAAGGACGCATAAACCATTTCTTAACCAATTTAGCTTTGAAATTTCATTGTGACATTGTTAGCCTCATCATCAGGCATGTATTACGATCTACTAGCAAACCGGCATCAAATTTCTTTCTATCATCATACACCGAAGGTCACACAAATCCGCATGATTTAACCCTCCTACTGAGGGTCAAAAGGTTATCTGACCAACTTACTTTCGCATGTCAGCAGAAAGTAGATTTCATGAGCGTCCTTTCAAATTAATGCCATAAAAATCGCCTAGGTCATCCGCTGAAACAAAAAGTATTTTCAATCGCCTCGTCAAGACCAAGTCCTCAGAAAATGTCTAAAATCTTGCCCTGCGCCCATTGACCTTTGACCTGTGACCTTCAATTTCGGCACACGTGGATGGCTTTCCTACCATGATGCTATACACCATACTACACGAGCTAGCTCGAGCGTTTAGCAATCTTGGTGCCGCCAGATTCTGCATATTCCTCACCGCTCCTTAAATGTTTTAAAGGGTGAATGTTCCCCCTTCTTTTCACCTCTTGACCTTTTACCTTGACCCCAGCTTCGAAATCCCAACTCGTTTTCGATTACCCCCCACGTCCCCGAAATATCGTGACCGTACGTCGAGCGGTTAAGAGTGTGCCCCAACTGTTGACGGGACGGACGCTCGGACGACGACGCGACGACGGACGGACGGACGATCATGCGATTCTACAAGCTGCATCTGACTATGTCAGATGAGCTAAAAACAGAGGGATTATGATTATGGACATTGATAATGACTTATTATTATAAACACAAGGAAGAACATGATATGCTGTTTTATTACTGTAATTTGCTCCAAAATTGGCGGGCCTACTGCTTTGCTGGCGGGCCTGCAGCTTTTAAGAGCTATAGGCCCTGCAGGCCTACAGCTTTTTCTGCTCAGTGGCAAACACTGGTGTGACTCCCTGAAAATTCTGCCACACTAACTAGTTCGTTCCAGAACACGGCCTCGCAGAATTACCTAATTTTTCCAGCAAATGTCCAAAGAAAATTTGGCAGACGTGCAACCGCATGCATCTTAAAAATAAGCACACGTGCCTTATTGTTAATATCATTAATTTTGACCTTCAGACTGCGGACTCCCTCTTTTTGCTGCAAACTCCCTCTTTTTGAGGGTAGGGAGTCCGTTGGACTCCCGTGTTCAAAAGTTAAATTCTACCCCTGCGCACCGTTACAGAGTATGGCGCGGCTAAGGCCAAGCGCATCGGCCGTTGTCGAGCTCATCGTCTCCACGATGCGGTGCTTCAGCTTCTTCAGGATCACGTCGAGGGTCTTGCCCTGCGACGGCTCGGCGTGCAACTTGTTGTAGTTGATCGTCACTTTCTTCTGCAGCAACAAGACAAAGCAAAAGACACGTATTAATGCACTTCGATAATGACGTGATAATAAAAGTGTAAAATGAAGTTCTGCTTGTTAGAGTTCATCATCACTTCCTTCTGCAGCAACAAGAGAAGGTTAAAGAAGTTTGTTTTACAGATTGTACATAACAGAGTGTAAAAAATATTGTGCTTGTTGTAGTTGATTGACACCATTTTCTGTAGTGACAAGACACGACAAGAAATAGACAAAAATCAACGAATTACCGTCCTTCAATAATGATGGTATTTACATAAGTGTGTACAACCAAGTTCGCTCTTTCTACCACTTTATTAGAATGGAAACCTACAGGTCTCTATACCACACTTTTGGTATTTCCTTCAAAGGACTATTAGTATTACTGAGGTTTGATTATGCTATACTGGATGCAAGGAATTACTAACTTGCTTCTATAGGCCTACTAGATAAAAGAACTTACTTTGTAATTTCCATACAAAGAATGAAGCACGTAAGGTATACAAAGTATGTAATCGCTAACTGGCTTATAATACTGAAACACTTCAAGTCATTCACTCATGGCTTTTTTACACGGGAGAAGAAAGATCTGCATTGGCCCGGTAATTGGAAAGTATGAAACTTACTTTCGAATACATAGAATAGAGCAATCACTAGTACTCTGGATTACTATCATTCCAAATCAATGTATGCAATTTTTTATTGCATATACAGGGTTAGACACTAACCATTTTAGTTCATTAGTCCACAGGACTAGTAAAAGAAAAAATGTACTAGTCCTTCCAAGATTCTACTAGTCCTGCCGAAGGACTCTTACTAGGCGCAGATCGACGAGCCTTGTGATTTGCCAGGAGGTAGGTGGGGTAGGAGGGTGGAGCCCCCCTTCTGCTAGGGGGTACAGGCAGGCGCGTAGCCAGGATTTTATTTTGGGGGGGGCGGCAATGCATGAGCACAAGTGAATGTGCGAAATCAGTGGCGTAAATCCTACAGAATGGGGGGGATATCGTCGATAGCCATCACATTTACAACGACGCAACCCACAAAAAATTTTAACACACACCACGCATCTGCAGCACGGCACGAACATACATACACCACAACACCACACACAGGCGGATCAAGAATTTGAAAAAAGGGTCCAGCGAAAGAAAAAAACAACTTTTTTTCTTATACTTTTTCTGTGTTTTAAAAAGCTGCCGAAGCCCTTTGGGGGTTCGGGGAGACCTCCCCCAAGATTTTTTTTTAAAATATGGTGCACTGAGACGCCATCTGAACATAATTTGGGATTCTAAAAGCAAAAATTTCATCAGATCCGTCCCCCGACACCTGCGAACTCTCTTTTACACCATTTCTAAGTTTTTATAACGAATTTACATATATATATATAAACCTTATCAAAAAACTACGCTACACAACAAATTTTCATGAATCAATATAAAAAATTGTGTGTGTGTTGCCGCCGCAAGCACAGTCGTTGTTGTCGTGATGTGGCGTGCGTTGCGCATGCATGTTGGATTTGTCTGTCTGCGTTGCGCTGTGTGTTTATTTTTTTCCCTTTTTGGGTAAAAAGGGGGTCCGACCCTCACCTCGACGCCCGCCTCGGATCCGCTCCCGCACACAACACACACACACACACACACACACACACACACACAGCACATACACACACACCACACCTGTACACCACACACACAACACACGCACATATACACCACACACACCACACGCACATCGCATACCACACACACACACACACACACACACACACCACACACCACCCACACACACAACACGTACATACATTTATACATCATACTAACATGCACGCACATGCAAATTTGACAACACCGACATCGCACTGCCTACCATCCATAGGCTGGGCCACCCCCATGAAAATTATGAAATATTTAAGCTCATTTTGGCCAATATTAGCCGGTTGGGGGGACCGCCCCACCGCCCCCCCGGCACG